CCAAATTGGCAGGGCATGTATTTGTAATACCCCTTCGATGATAAATAAGAGATTTCTTCAATACTAGTGTTGCTGGGTCAGTAATACTAAACTAATGTCTTGATGTAAGAGGCAAGGTAAAAAAAAAAGATAAACCCTTGAGATAGGGGCCTTGATGTTGAGGTATGGCCTTGAGATAGGCTGGGTCTGGAAGAGGACTCGCGTCCATACTTACATGGATCCCTACCAAATTTTCATTTGGATAGGGGCAAAAAGATGCCAAAGTAAAAAATGATTACCGTCTTGCATGAGCCATCCGTTGCGGATTGAAGGGTCTAGGGAAGACTGGAAGTCACTTCAAACGCATAACATATGGACATGTAAGATTGGATGAGGGTTGGTTCTCACCGGCATACCCCCATGTGGGAAGATTGGGTTGGCTAGGTCAACCTAATGATTAGAGAATGGCACATTAAAAAACTTAAAACCTGGAAGAGGGGCCCTGGAAGAAGGGTGTTGCCTGGAAGAGGGCTGAACCTTGGAGAGGGTTCGCGATCATAGGACATGGTCAAAATCTCCGAAGAAAGTTCGGTTCTTGATGTTGAGACTTGATGATTCCAAAACCGTTTCGGATTATTCGTTCGAAATTTGAGAAAGGTTGCTGTTAGGCATGACACCCAGGCCAGAGGGGGAAAAGAAGGTGGCATGGTCAAAAGTGACCGGTCACTTTTTGATGTTCTGGATTGACAAGAAAATGCGAATGGGAAAAAATTAAAATTTGACCCGTCAACTTTAAGAAAAGTGACCGGTCACTTTTTAGTTGGCGGATTTGATGAAATCAGACAAAACTGGAAAAAATATTTCTTGACCGGTCACATTTTTGACCCGGCACCTGGACAGGAAATTTGACATCATGCTGGTTACACATTGCAACCAAGCCATTAGAACCTGGAAGTTAATTGGGTCAGGAAACAGGTGAGGAAGAAACCGACCTAGACGTTTTCAAGTCAAGAGACCAGGACATGAGATGACCTGGAAGTTTTCAAGCCTTGCGTCTAAAGTGGTCTTCAAAACTTCCAACCTAGCCTACTACACCAGGACATGAGATGACCTGGACGTTTGTTGCAGTTCAACCTAGACACAAGCCGGTCCAGAAGACTAGTCAGGCCACAAGAT